TTACCCATATGTTATGTGAATTGCTCAGAAAGGGGATATCAGATCTCTACATATAGGTCCAGGGATTTAGCTCGTAGGTTCTGCCACCTGTCTTATAAGTGCAAGTTCCCGAGTTTGGTCTCCAGTACCAAAATCAATCAAGCAAGCAAGCAAACAAAATCTCTACATATAATTGTAGACCTATTCATTTCTTATTTAAATTCCATGTTGATTTCATCTCATACATTTTGGATCTTTGATTGAGTTATATTTTTAGGTTTTCAAGGTCTTCTTTGCCCTTCCACTCCTACTTTATTATCTAAAGTCCCACTATATTATTGAAAACATTTATTGTTATGAATTCTACTTTGGTATCAATAGAACCACTGGAAAAGTTTTAAAGTAGCATTTGTGTGGGAACTCTATTATCCCCTTTAGCTCTTAATAACTTATTGGTATTTAAAACAAATTTAGTTTTGATAGTACACATTCCAAATTTGTTTGGAAGCAATTTTTTCCTTTTTTTTTTTTTTTAGTATTTAGTCCATTTGCACATATTGTTACTATTGGCTGTAAGTGTACCACAGTTCTAGGGATGCTTTATACTTGTCTTATGATTTTGTTCTTCTTTCTCTTTTCATTGTCTTTGTATTGTTTATGGTATATTTCATCTTCATTTTGGGTTCATTACTTATAAGTCTTTTATTATGTTTAATGATTTCTATGCAGTCTAACTAGGTAAATGGATGGATATATAGACAACTTTAACATAATGTAGAGCTTTCCATTTTGCAATAATATCAACAGTATATTTTCAATTTTTCCATATTCTTTGTGTTATTTCTACTATGCAAACAGATGTTTATATTTTAAAGTGACTAAAGTAATAATATAAAAGGACACTTATATTTATCTTTATTGGAGCATTTTCTGTAGTCTTTGTTTCTTTTACACAGATTCAACTGTGTATCTGGCATTTTTCTTCTGGGTGAAGAACTTCCTTTAACATTTGTTTAGTACAACACAAATCCTTTGGCAACAATTTCACTGACCATTTTTCTTTTTCCTTTTCGAAATATAATGTTTTTATTATCATTTTATGTTTTAAAAATACCTCAAACAATTATATTATCTTGTTGACACTGTGCAGTGAATTTTCTCTAAACTAATTCCTACTTGCTATATGTAATATTGAATTTTTCTACCTTTCCTTTGGATTTGTCTTTATTTGATTTCCAACAGTTTACTTATGATGTATCAAAATACAATATTTTTCAAATCTGCATAAATATCTTTCACTATGCTTTTCAGATTTGGGTCTCACCATCTTTCATTATTTTTGGAAAATATGTTGTCTTTTTATCTTTTTTTTTTTTTTTTTTTTTTTTG